AAGTCTTTTAAATTCCAAGCTGCTTGGATTACCCATGAGGGATTCCGTGCAGTTGTTGAAAACAGTTGGCCTATCCACAATAATCATAATCTGTTGGGAGATTTGGATTGTATGACAACTGCGGCTAAGGATTGGAACAAAAATGTTTTTGGTAATATCTTCAGACGCAAATGTTGGCTACTTGGTAGGATCAATGGAATCCAAATTTCCCAAGCCAAACATTATTCTCACAACTTACATCATCGTGAAAATGAGCTTATAGATGAGTTTAACAAAGTGCTATACCAAGAAGAATTGCTTTGGTTCCAAAAGTCTCGTGTGAATTGGATTACCCAAGGTGAGCGAAATACTAAATTCTTCCACTTATCCACCATTGTTAAGAGAAGAAAGGTTAAAATAGAAGTTTTGAAAAATAATGAGGGTGATTGGGTGGACAACCCCACTGTTTTAAAATTTTTAGTTAACACTCATTTTCAAAATCTTTTTGCCTTTACCCAAAACTATTTGTCTTGACCATTGGAATAATTTAACTAAGCACTTAAGCCCTAAGGATGAGGTTGAGATGAGTAGGGATGTATTTGAGTCTGAAATTTGGAAGGCTGTTAAAACATCAAAGCATTCAAAGCCCTGGGTCCAGATGGGTACCAAGCCATTTTCTACCATACATTTTGGGATATTGTGGGAAAGTCTGTGACTGAATTTGTTCAAAGTTTTTTTGCCTCTTGCTCTATTCCTTCTGTGATAAATAGAACTCTTATAGCACTTATTCCTAAGGTCACTAATCCTGAGAATGTGAAACAATTCCGGCCAATTAGTCTGTGCAACGTAACCTATAAAATCATATCCAAAATCCTAGTTAACAGCCTCAGGCCACTCCTGGATTACCTCATCAGTCCTAATCAAAGTAGCTTTATTCCGGGTAGATCCACCCATGATAACATTATCATTACTCAGGAAGCCATACACACCTTGAGAAAGAAAAAAGATAAGGTGGGCTACATGATTTTTAAAGTGGATCTTGAAAAGGTATGATAACATTTCTTGGAGCTTCCTTAAACAAACACTGCAAGAGTTTCGTTTTGATGAGCGTCTAGTAGTCATGATTATGATTTGTGTCACTAGTGTGAGTACTGCTATTTTATGGAATGGTGAACCCCTTGATGAGTTCCAACCATCTAAGGGTTTAAGACAAGGGGATCCTTTCTGTCATGATTAGCAAAATGGTGCATGAGAAAGAGTGGACTGATCTTAGATTGTCTAAGAATGATCCTAATATATCACATTTGTTTTTTGCGGATGACTTGATCTTGTTTGCTAAAGCCAATGATCAAAACTATAACACCATCTTGAAAGTTTTGGACGAGTTTAGTGCTATTTCTGGTTTGAAGATCAATCTATAAAAATCTCATATGTTTGTGTCTCCTAACATTTCAAGGAGAAGAGCTAGAAATCTGAGTAATATGAGTGGTATTCCCTTAACTCAAAATCTAGGGAAATACCTTGGGGTTCCCATACTTCATACCAGATCGAGCAAAGATAATTTTAATTATATATTGGAAAAACTTAAGGCAAAACTTGTTGGGTGGAAATCGGGAATGTTGTCCTTAGCAGGGAGAGCAACCTTGATTCAATCTGTTACTAGTGCTATGTCTGCCTATGCCATGCAAACCATGGAGATCCCGAGGAAAGTTTGTGATGAGATTGACAAAATAAACCGAAATTTTCTCTGGGTGATACCCCTAAGAAAAGGAAAGTGCATCTTGTGAATTGGGATCAAGTTTGTATGATGAAAAAAGATGGTGGTCTTGGGATTCGGAGGGCCAGAGATCAAAATCTAGCCCTCCTATCCAAGTTGGGTTGGAAAATGTTAAAAGAGGAAAATTGTCTATGGGTGGAAGTGCTCAAGAATAAATACTTGGGGCAGCATTCCCTCCTTAACAAGAGGAAAGGAAAAAATATATCTCATACTTGGAAAGGCATTCTTAATACGAGGGAACTCCTTGTGAAAGGAGTGAGATGGAACCTTGGATACGGATCCAAAGTGCGAGTCTGGAAAGATTGGTGGTGTGGCGAGGGGGTCCTTGATAAGGACTTGAGTTTACCTGATATCCAAAGCCCTAACTCTGAAATTATTACTGTGGATTCCCTTCTTGATGATTATGGTGAATGGGATGTGAGTCTGATGTATACTCTCCTTCCCTGCCTTTGGTTATGGAAATCCTGAAAATCCAACCACCCCGCACAAGAAATGTAGAGGATAATCCCAGATGGGTTAAATCCCCAGATAGAGAATTCTCTATATCAAGTGCTTATGAATTGATTGTTGATCACCAAAGCCAGGAAGGGGATTGGAGTTGGATATGGAAGCTTAAGGTTCCTCAGAAGCTTAAGAGCTTTGTGTGGCTTGTACTTCATGGAAAGATTCTCACTAATCATATAAGAAAATTGAGGGGTCTAACTAATGACCCGAGCTGCCCCTGTTGTGACAGTGTAGAGGACATTGAACATCTATTACAATTCTGTCCTAAAGTTGTGCAGGTTTGGTGTCAAGTTTTTAGCAAAGAATGGTACTCCAATATGCTTAATTTGTCTTGAAAAGATTAGTTCATTCGGAATATGAAAGGGACAAACAAACTCCATTCCTTGTTTCTAGTCGCAACCTGGACTATTTGGAAAAATCGAAACAAAAGGGTTTTTGAAAATAAAAATACACATATTTTTGAGAGTGTGAACAGTATAACAAATTTTGCTAAGGAAATATTTCAAGCATTCAATTTAGACATTACAAAACCCCACAAATTTAAGAGCCTAACTGTGTGGTCTTGTCCAAGTGCAGGCAAAATTAAGCTCAATACGGACGATAGTACTCGCCAAAATGGAGGAGGTGGTGGATTCGGTGGGCTATTCTGGGATGAAAGAGGATCATGGATTAGCGGCTACTATGGAAGATTAGAGATATGCACCAGTCTTGAAGCGGAACTTTAGGCTGTCTACAAGGGACTCACAATCATTCTTCAACGAGGCTTGAATCAAGTAATCAATGAAACAGATGCGGAGCAAGTGGTACATTTGTTGAGTGAAGAACTAGGTGAAAGATGCCCCTTTAGGGGCATTGTGGAAGATGCATGCATTATCTTGAGAGGTTGTGACTGCTCAATTCAACACATCAGGAGGGAAGCCAACATATGTGCCGATACTATGGCGAAATTTGGTGAAAATCAACCAGCTGAGCTACTAATTGTTAATGAACCACCACAGGAAATGCGTAGTATGCTAATTGCGGGTATTGTTCACCTCTCTGAGCAGAAAAAAAAAAAAAAAAAAAAAGTTGCAAAGGAAAAAAGGAAGAGAGAGAATGGGATACTATTTTTTCAAACTAAAGCTATATTTTGTTCATTTGAAATTATTTATTCTCATTAAAATATACAAAATTCATGTTGATTTACCCATTCACTATTGAAATTATTTATTCTCATTAAAATATACAAAATTCATGTTGATTTACCCATTCACTATTGAAAATAAATTATTTATTCTCATTAAAATAGAAAAAATACAAATAAAAAATAAAAAAATCTTCAAAATTTTCATATTTATTATAAAAGATATTATTTAAACTTTTAATATTAATTTTATTATAAATATTTTTAATAACAAATATTTATATATTTATTTTTTATATATACAAATTCGAGTTGGTGAATGGTTTATTGATATTCGATTAATTTAATTTTTACAAATATATTTTATTCGATATTCTTTAAAAATTAAATGATTCAAATGATGAAAATAAAATTTAAAATAATTCTCGCAAACGGCACTACAGTGCCTCTAACTCCCTATAACCTTCCATTACTTCCTACTCTCCTTCCTATCACTCATCTCTTCGCATTTCCAATTGCCACTACTGTCTAAATTTACTGCTATCTTATTTAAATCATCTATTGATAATCAATCTCTTTAGTTTCAATTTTCAAAATTTACTTTTCAAAAAATTTTATTTCTTTATTTTTCATATTTTTTTATTTTTACTGAATTTTATTAATATTTTAAGCAACTTTTAAATTTTTTAGATACAACTAACATAAATATATTTAAAAAGTAAAAAATTGTGAAAAAATCTTTTAAAAATTCACTAAATACAAAAAATATTTAAAAAAATACGAGAATTCAATACATTTTTTTGTATTCTTATTTATTTTTTAAAATATTTTTTTACAATTTTTTTACTTTTTAGATACATTTAAGTAAGGTGCATTTTAAAAAGTAAAAAAATTATTTAAAATTTTAAAAATATTTACTAAAAATTAAAAAAAAATACGAAAACCAAAAAACTTAATTTTCAAAAAACTTAATTTAAAAAATTAACACCAAACACACTTATTAAATATTTTATATGAGTGTGAAACTTCCATATAAATCACATATCATATAAAATATTTGATGAAACACTCAGTAAAATATTTGGAGTGTGTTTGGTTTGATTTTAGGAGATAAATTTTCGAAAAAAAATTGAATAATATTAGGAATCATGAAAAAAATTCATGAAATTCTTTATGAAGATTTTTCCTCCTTTGATTAGTGTGTAGTGTTTTCTTGTATATCTAATCTATCAGTGAAGAATCTTTCATGATCATTTTCATGATTTTTTTTTCATGATACTTAGCATTACTCAAAAAAATTAGAGAGAGAGTTTAGAAATTTTTTTAATTTGTTTGGTTGTATATTTTAAAAATAGTTTTGGAGTATGGGAGTTTGAGATAATTTGATATTTTGTTATAATTGACTAGATATATGTAAGAAAAAAAAGTGATTGAAAAGAAAATAAAAGAGAAAAAAAATGATTAATTGATATGTAAGAAAAAAAAAAAATTTAGAATTTTTTTTTTAAATTCACTAAATCAAACAAAATTTTTAAATTTTTTTTCTGAAGTTACTCTCAGAAGCCAACCGGCTTGGTGTCTAGCATTACTCTATTAACACTAATTCACGTGCATTCCCATCTCTATGCTCCTCCTACTCTGTATCTCTCGCTCTCTCTCTCTCTCTCTCTCTCTCTCTGTTTCTCCATCCGCGTGGTGATCCATGGCGATTCATAGTCCTCTGTATCTCCTTCCTTCTTGTCTCTCTCCTCCTCCTCCCAAACTCTTCAACTTCTCCCCCACCAACACCACCACTCCCAATACCACTGTTGGTCTCTTCTCGTCCACTCGATTTAGGCCCCAAACGAGGCCAATATCATTCTCTACGCACTTGATGAATTCCAATTTCTCTGCCGCCGTGGTCGTCGGAGAGGACTTCCCGGCTGACTACACCGACTGGCTTCCCAAACGTAACCCCTACGACCGCCGTCGAGCCGGCGTTCTCCTCCATCCGACGTCGTTTCCTGGCCCTTACGGCATTGGTGACCTCGGGGACCAGGCCTTTCGCTTCCTCGATTGGCTTAACCATTCTGGTTGCTCCCTCTGGCAGGTCCAATCGTTCTTCACATCCTCCTCCTCCTCAATCTGCTGATGCCTTAATTTATTACATTGACCTTTTTTTTTTATATTTTAAATTCTATTTGTAAATTGTTAATTGTGTGTCCAAAATACTTTCTTTTACGTTTTCTTTATTAATTGCTACTCTACTTTGTGGGGCTTATTGCTTTGTAATGAAAAGATGTTCTTTAGTCTTCTTGACTTTCTTTCTAGTTAATTAACTTTAGAATAGTGATATATATAGATTTAGAATTTGTATACAGAATGAGAGCTTCTATTTCCACGCATGTTTCTTCTAAAGATTTGATGAATAGTTTCATCTGATATCACACGTTTCAATGCTAATTTTTCAAGTTTCATCAAACAACCGGCAATAGGCAACTTTGGCCGGACAACTGGCTGGTCGTCCGGTGTACGTGCAACGGTTCTCTCCAAACATTTGATGAACACTGAAGCCTCCCTCAATTTGATGAAACTTTTAGATCAAATTACCCATTTAAATTACATTTAGTTATAGAAATGCCACGGCCACATCATTGTGATGAAAAATCCTGTATAAATGTTTTGTTTTAATAGTATTTTCTGTAACTATAAAATTTGCCTCCAAACATAGAGTTTAATGGAGAAGTATACAGTGGTTTATAGTTGTTAATATGTTTAGATGTTTTAGGCTCTCTTCTAATTTAATTTGTTTCAAATTGTACTGTTTTAAGGTCCATTTTTGAATTCTTTGTAAATTTCCTTTTGAATTCCTCTTTGATATTATTGTCATATTTTTGTAAGCATGTATATTTTCCAATATCCTATGTTGATTGAAAATTTTTTTTATTTTTTGTTGCGCAGGTTCTTCCTCTGGTTCCTCCTGATGAGGGGGGATCTCCATACTCAGGACAGGTTGCTAATTCACTTAAATGTTTAGTTCCTTAAACATTGTTTTTTCATTTTCTAGAAAATAGTTGAAGAAATTTCATTACGAAACCGGGAACCGTAAATAAATCTATAAAGGCAGTAGGTTTTTTTAAACACAGTTAGGTTCCATTTATTCATAATTTATGCCGCTATAGCTTGGCAAGTGCACTGATTTAGTTCAACGGACTTAAAAATCACATTACTTGTTAAAATGGACTTCTCAAGCATCACTGTACATCTTATCTTTTAACTGTTAGAAAGGAAAGAAAGTGAAATGTAGTTACTCCAATAGGTGGTTTTAGTCATCAAGTCACACTTATTGTGATTTTCATAATTTCTTATCTACTATCCATTCACTCACTAAATCCTTTTGGACAGAAGTTCATTTATTGCGATGTGAAGTGTATCATGATTTTCCTTAATATTTAGGAGCAATTTTAATTAATATCTTGCATTTGTAATGGAAATGAGGCTGACCACTCTTAATGATTACTTTCAGGATGCAAATTGTGGTAATACCATTTTGATTTCTCTCGAGGAGCTTGTAAAAGATGGTCTGTTGATGAAGGAAGAGCTTCCAGAACCAGTGTGAGTGTCCTGGTTTGTGGATGATCATAATATTTAGCTTATTTCTGCGGTCTTTTATGTGCCTTGCGCTCATCATGACATCCTCACAGAGATGGAGATCGTGTGCAATTCTCAACTATTGCTGATATCAAAGCTCCTTTGATAGCCAAGGTAAAGTACAAGAAATTATTGTTGCGAGTTCTTCTTGTATTTTAGAATGTAGGATGAACTTTAATTTGACAAGAAACCACTTCCCAAATGTGCTTTTTAATGGTGGATGAACAACTAAGACATTTATGTTATTTGCATTTCCCTGCTCTATAATATATTCACCACCGTCAACACCATTCCAACTATTACCACTAATGTCGGACAACCCGAACAACTACTTTTACCTCCACCATGCATGTGTCCTATGTTTCTGTCATCGTGATAAGGAAAAAGAGGGAAGATTGAAGAGTATGAGAAAAACTTGTGCTGGAAAGTGGAAGAAGAAGAAAAAATGGAGGTTTAGAATTGTTCAATTGCTTTATTTATAGGTTTAGTGATCAAATGTAAGGTAATACACATTACACACCACAAATGGCATGGAAAAAATGAGTATACAAGTACAAGAAAAATATATCACCCTTCATCAAAATTCTTGCTTGGGGTTGGGGAGTAGTACCAACAATTTGAATAGGAATAGGATTGAAATCCCACATTCCATGTGTGGTAGGATAGGATTGACATTGTTGCTGCATTAGCCCATTATCAAATTGAGAGGGCATGAAAGATGTAGGGCTTATATTTCTGTTTGCCAATGGATTTTTTTCCGCACTGTTTTTAGACCTTGGCTTGTACTTCAAAAAAAAATCTTCATATTTTTTTGTGCTGTGGGTTTGGGGCTGGGAGCTATGTCCTTTATATCTTTTGGAATATTAGGGGCATTAGATTAAATTAATATGTTATGGATGGTGCAAAATTTTATGTTCTTCCTTTTTAAATAGAACTGCCTGTTTTAATTTCAAAATTTGGAGCTTGAACTACTGTTTAACAAAGGCTCCTATATGAATCTCTTAGGCTGCAGAGAGGCTGATTCTGAGTGAAGGGGAACTGAAACGTCAGCTTGAAGATTTCCGTAAAGACCTTGATATTGCAAGTAATCTTTTCTTTATTACAATTAACTTGTGTGAAGTGATTCTTGTTGAAGTTGGGCCTATTTGTATGGATACGATGATATTCGTAGAAATGTATAAAGGCTAATTAATGGAAAAATAAATGGAATGTTGACCCCAAGGAGAGTCTTGTCCTTCTGGGGTGGGACTACCCTAGACCTATCAAAAGAGAGGCTTTCATCGTCAGAACAAGTGGTCACATAGCCAGTTTCTGTCATCTCTCTAAAGTCCAGCGTCCTTCCTACCCTCTCACTTCAGTTACTGCACACCTTCTTACCATAGGACCAAGTCCTTCCTTATCATTACTTGTCACTCTGCTATAGGATTCTTAATAAGGTAATAGTGGATGTCATCGAGCCTAATAGTTACACTTCTGATGTTCAGTATGGCTGGTCTGACCTCCTTTATGCTATAAGCACAAGGCGCCCAATTTTGACCTTCCCCATTTATGTGGTGCATTATGTTCACTGTACAACACTGTGGACTTCCTTGTGGGTCTCTTATAACCCATCTTGATATCATTCATGAGGTCCCTATTGCTTCCTCCGAGGCCGGTATGCATATTCCTGTTTCTTAGAGGACCATCAATCAGAATGTCTCACGCAAGGTTTTAAAAGCGGCCGCAACCGTTATGTAACGGTTGTGGTGGTTACTGCCATCCGTTACGGCCGCTTTTGTAGTGTGATTGAGATTCACAGGTGTGTCGGCCGTCGCGGCTGTCGTAGCGGTCGTAACGGTGTCATAACAGCCGTAACGGCCTGTTACACACCGTTATGTAACGGTTCCGAACTGCTTCTTTTGAAAAAAGACAAAAAAAAAAGGTTGAAAATGGGGGAAGAGGGATAGAGAGAAGAGGGAAGATAAAGAGAGAAGATGGAGGAGCAAGCGATAGAGAGAGAGAAGAGAGAAGAGAGAAGAGGGAAGATGAAGAACATGTTAGTGATTTGTTGAAACTGTAAGACCTATGCTATGCTATTCTATTCAGCTGTTATCACTCAACCATTTTGTTTGTATGTGTCTATCTATATATTGTTTGATAATAATAATAATTATAATAATAATAAGTGTGGTCATTATCTATTTGGCTTGGTTAAAAAATCTATATATATATATATATTTAGACTCTTATTTATTCTTTTACTTTTGTCATTGTTTATCTTATATATAATAATTAGTGATTGATTTTTTTGTATAATATAAAGTCAATTATTAAAATAAAATGTAAAAAACTCAATTTATAGTGATTTAAAAATATGAAATACATTGAATCATACTTAAAAATTTACAAAAATTGATCAATATTTATTTTAAACCCAATAAATATGATCATGGAAAAAAAATGTGAGTATCAGTAAGTTTTTTTCAAATTGTGCGAAAAATAAAAAAATTCACGGTTTCGGTTACCGCAACCGTTACACTATGGCTTTTACACCTCGCAACCACAACCGCGCCACCACCACCGTTACGGTGACTGCAACCGCTTGTCAAAACCTTGGTCTCACGTGTTGCTGGCTGTCCTGCTGTTGGTGCTGCTCAGGTTGATTCTCCAGCTGCAGTCACTCCTGTGGCTGTTCCTCTTCATTGGAGCATAACGAGCTACTAATGATTTGATTCTCTAGAAGATACAATGGCTTGATGCTAGGATGGAGGACTTTGACACTGGGCTTGCTGATCTTTAGACTGATGTGTCTTGTCTGCAGACCTGGTTCAATAAGCAATGGAGCAACAATGTTGATCGTATGTTTCATGTTGAGGAAGATATGGTGTCTGATGAGGATCATGGGGATACATAGCAAGACCTCTCTTTCTTTTTGTAACTCCTTTTAGCATTTTGTGATACAAGGGGAGAGAGAGAGAGAGTTTATGCTATATATCATGTTCTTTTGTCATTTCTTTTCATTAATTTGATTATATATATATATATATAGAGAGAGAGAGAGAGAGAGAGAGAGAGAGTTTATGCTATATATCATGTTCTTCTGTCATTTCTTTTCATTAATTTGATTATTTAGTATTTGCTGATATGTATCCTCCTTTATTTACATTACTTTGCTTCATATTTCCTGTGAACTTTGTTTTTCTTTTTGTTACACGCTGCACTTTATATTGCAGTCCTGGTGAGATGATGTTTACAAGTTTACACGTTTTTTGAGCAAGTGATGTGTTTTATCAAAGAAATCATCTTAGTTTAAGTTTGCAGCTGTCTTGGGCTGGGTTGTAATTTCTTTGTATTTGTTTTGAGGTACATGTATTGTTTTTGGAGTTTCATCATGGAAATGCCAAGGGGGAAGATTGTTATTAGCTAGGTTGGTTATTTCGGATGACCAAAATATCCAGCGTATGTACTGTTGGGGTTTTGAGTTGGTAGGATTTTTAGTTCAGCTAGTGAGCTTGAGTTCACCACTTGAAAAGATCCTTCTTGGCAGTTGATACAAGACTTGGGTTTTTTTACCTGCACGTATAAGACATATTTGAACCCCTTGCACGTCTTTGCTTTGTGTCTCACTTGCATTTACTATTTAGGCACCAATCCTTCTTAGGACTCTGCTTTTTTGAGTTTTAAATTCACTTAAAAATATGTTGCCCCTTCGAGCCCGATCGCTCAACATTCTATAGGCACGTGAGTTCTTTCTTTAATTGGCTGCTAGCTTAGCACCCCACAAGCGCTCACAGCTAAAAGTCCTAAGCGGTTTGCTTGCTCAAAGCTTTATAGGTGCTTGATTGCTCTACCTGTGAGTAGGTGTGCTCACTCAGCGCCCTAAAACTACTGAAAGGTTTGCTCCCTTAGGCCCCTGTAGTTCCTTCCATTACATAAAACTTAAGTGTCCCTTAGGGCCCAAACCCATGTTCAAAGGAGTACATAAACACCACAAAGTTTTCTTATAAAACCAATGTGGGATATACTAGTTTACTGATGTAAACAAAATTTTTTAATTTTTAAATGTTATTTTATTTATTTTGATATTAGTATTTTGTTAAGAATCTACTCGTTTAGTATAGAATCATAGAATTATTATGTTTCTTAAATTGTGTTGATTTAGCTAGTTTCTTATCTTAGAGCATCTCCAATGGTGCATCTTTTTTTTTCCTGCCAAATTTGAGTAAAAGTTCCATTTGATATCAAGTGCTCCAACGAAGGATTTTGAGCTTTTATCAAAAACACCGGTTGACCGAGTGGATGTCTGGCCGGTCGACCGGCCAATGTATTTTTTTCACAAATTTTTGCCTAGAGGTGGTCATCTGGGAAGACATTTGGGGGATATCCGGTGGTGAAAATTCAACGATTATGAACAGTGATTTGATGAACGCTCCCAGCGTCCTCAATTTGGTGAAAGATTTTTGATATCCTCGATTTGATACTTATTTGATAAAACCATTGAAGCAGGAAAAGAGGTATTTTTCATTAAATTTAAATTTGATGACAGAATTGATGAACCATTGGAGATGGTCTTACAAGAATTAGGTTTATTACAAATAATGGTTGTAAGCCTTAGGGCAACATAAGTTTTTTGAAAATTAATATAATTTTGAGTTTTATACTCTCTTTCCAACCTTGGTTATTTTTTTAGAATCAATCATTGTTGAGCCTTTATTCTCGCTATTCCTTGTAAATCAACGAGTCTAAAGAAAGATCATACTTCCAGTATTCATTCTTGAATCAACGGATTCTAAGATCGTCACTGTCTCATGTTTCTCATTGCATCATTTACCATTCTTCAACCAATATCAAGTGGTGATTTTGGGAGTCAATTTCTCATTCACTCCTTAATGGTTGAGAGCAAACAGATGTTTGTTATTCATTTATGCAAAGGTGAATACTTTACAATGTGGACCCGACTAAATGGACGTGTGGTACTCACCTTAAATTTGGCTCAAAGATGACAAAAGACCATTTAATCAAAACCATTTTTCCAACAAATGCATACTTAAATATACTCTAGTATGACAACTAAGTTGATCTTTTGGGATTTTCACTTTCAAGAGACTTTACTTACCTTTTTGTACATTATTTTCACAATTTTGCAGGTTGGCTTGAAGATGCAGCTTATTTTGCTGCTATTGACAACTCTTTAAATACATTCAGCTGGTATAATTGGCCTGAACCCTTGAAAAATCGCCATCTTGCAGCCTTCGAAGAAATTTATCAAAGCAAAAAGGGTTTCGTAAGTCCTGTCTTATGCTGCGACTATGTCTGTGCTCAAACTTCTGCAGTGCACCTTTGGTTGATTCTGGAGGCTGTTATAATTTGTGACCACCAAATTCATGCTTTCACATGAACAGATAGACATATTCATCGCACAACAGTTTTTGTTTCAAAGGCAATGGCAAAAAGTTCGTGACTATGCACGGATAAAGGGAATAAGCATAATGGGAGACATGCCCATTTATGTTGGCTATCACAGTGCAGATGTTTGGGCGAATAAGAAACATTTTTTGCTGGTGAGCAGTTACTCATAAACAATGACTGCTATATAAGTATGCTTGTGAAGTACTCATCCTCATGCCAGTCGCTAACTATTCAATTGCCATGCAGAACAGGAGTGGCTTTCCTCTTCTTGTTAGTGGTGTTCCCCCTGATGCCTTCAGTGAAACTGGTCAGCTATGGGGCAGGTCTGTCTTATGTAGTACATAGTTAATTTCAGAAGTCTGCTTATGGGATAATGTTGGTCGTCTTTGAGTAGGATGAGATTTGTTTTGGTTTTCTTCTTTGCTTATGGTAGATTTGATTAGATTGCTTAAAAGGATGTGAATTTTGTTTTTGGACTCATATATCTGCGAAGTATAAATACTATGCAAATTTACTCTACCATTGAACTGTATTATCAAATTTATTGATGTGATTTTGAAGATTAATTGTTTCAAATTTCATCATACCTATACACTTTAATTGCCTAGAAATTTAAATCTAATTATTCATTTAATTTTTATTTCCCAATTCATAAATTTTAAACATTTTTATCCACTCCAACCTGATTTTGATGTCTAGATCACTAGTTACTGCAACCAGCAATTGTCATAGGCTGCATAGTGGTATCTAGTAGTTCCTTCCCTAATTTTTACCACTTTTACGGTTTACCCTCATATAGTTCATGCATTTGAATTTATATATATATATATATATATGTAGTATGCACATTTAACTTGCCACTAAAGCCTCGTTTGGGAACAGGCTTTTTTAGTAACTTTTGGGCTTTTTGGCTAAAATATGATGTGACTTTTTAGTTTTTTATGAAAATATGTACAAAAAGTAGAGAGAAAATGAAATCTTTCACTTTTTGGTATATGTTGGCTTTTTGGTTTTTTTAGTGACTTTTTGGCTTTTAGACTAAAAAGTGATGCTGCCAAACGAGGCCTAAGTTATTTTTGACAGTTGGCTTGATGTGTCAGCTTGCTTACTAAGTAATTTCACCTTTTGACTTAACAGCCCTCTATATGACTGGAAAGCCATGGAGAAATATGGATTTTCATGGTGGATATGCCGAATACGGCGTGCACAGAATCTATTTGATGAATTCAGGATAGATCACTTTAGAGGATTTGCAGGCTTTTGGGCTGTTCCTTCTGGTGAGGTTACATGAACTTTCATAAATTGGTTTGATTCTTGTTATATATTTAACCATATTATATCTCATAGACTCATGCACATGCAGAAGCCAAAATTGCAATGGTTGGACGGTGGAAGGTCTAATATTTGAATCCCAGATCTTGTGATATTTTCTTTAATTGTCACAACAATCCACTCCATATGAATTTTTATTGACAGTAGGTGGGACCTGGGAAATCTTTGTTTGATGCCATCTTCAGAGATGTTGGAAAGATTAATATAACAGCAGAAGACTTGGTATGTTCTGATTCCATCAGATTGGATCCAGGGACTTTTAATTCTTCTATATATTTTCTTTCATTTTTTTTAATCTAGTTTTTGGTGTATAGCGCTGTTGGAATAATTTTACTTACTAAAAATTGCCCAAATCTTCATATTGGGTCTCAAAAATTTCATATGGATTCTTCTGTTTTCTGATTTGATCAGTATTGCTTCTGCTAGTTTTACTGAAATTATTATATGGCTTTTAGATATTTCATTACATCTTCATACCCGTCAGGACATTATTGTCTGTCCTATACATTAGTGAGTTTTTTTTTTTTTTCATGTCCAACTACTCAGTCTATATGTTCTCTTATTAGTCAGAATCAGTGCAAATATTTTCAGATTATCTCACACAAGGAAATATTTTTCACATCTTTAAGTATTAAGTTAATTCAGCTGGAATTATTCTCATTTCTTCCTTGTTCTGACATGTGACAGGGAGTAATCACTGAGGATGTAGTTCAGCTTAGGAAAGCCATTGGGGCACCTGGAATGGCTGTCCTCCAGTTTGGTAGTTATTTTGTGCATTATTGTATAATTATGTTTTTTTTATGGGTATATTGATGAAGCAACCTTTAGTTTATAGTTTGTAAATTGTGGTCCCTCTCGTCTTTTTGGTCCAGGTTTTGGAAGTGATGCTGATAATCCTCATTTGCCTCATAATCATGAGTACAATCAAGTTGTCTATACTGGGACTCATGATAATGACACGGTAAGATCCTCTTGGCCTTTGTGTTTCTTAGTCTTGGAAATGGATTTGTCTTACTTGGGATAATATAGCAAAATGCGGCACCTGTCTGAGGTGGTTTCTGAAAAACTGTGTTGGTGTGTTTTGTTCTTGAAAACTGAAAGTGAAAACAGTGGAGGACACGCAATTTGTATAAGTGTTTCTGAAAACTAATTTTGAGAAAAAATTCTTGGAAGAGCCCATTTTCAGAACAATTTTAAAAATAATAAAAAAAAAAATTCAGAAGTTCAGATTCATAAGGAAATAAAATATTATGAAAATGATTACTTGTAAAAAAAAAATGTTATTAAAACAAAAATTTCCAAACTTTTCATTGTTTTCAATTTCATTTTCAGAAACTTGAGAAAATTTTTACAAAAAATGATAGCGATCAAAATGATGCCAAACAAGCCTGTCAATATTGTATTGATCAACAATTGCTGTTTGTTTTATTTAATTTTGCTGGTAGGAAAAGAGAGTTACTGTTTACTTGGTAACGTCGTTTGGCATATTTTGAGACCTTTCTCAACATAGAATTTTGGAAATTGTCTCCCCATTTAGATTTTTACCCAGAGAACATAGATGTGGCCCATTTTATTTATTTATTTATAGTTTAGATTAGACATGGAAGGGCATATCAATTTTTTTTTTTGTTTGCACACTTGGAACTTTTAATATTTATATATATATATATATATATTCAGTTTGTGAACATAGGCTGCTGACAGTTTCTGGTTATCGTAGATTCGAGGTTGGTGGGACATCTTGCCGCAAGAAGAAAAGTCCAATGTGAGTTTTTTAATTATTATGTAATACAAATCCTCATTAAGCTGTGAATTCGCCTATATTCAAGTTAGAACAATATTCACAGCATGTGCTTTTGTTTCAGGTGCTGAAGTATCTTTCAATTACTGAGGAAGAGGATATTTCTTGGGCACTAATCCAAGCTGCACTCTCTTCAGTGGCCCGAACTGCAATAATACCTATGCAGGATATCCTTTGTCTAGGAAGTCTGCCAGGATGAACATTCCTGCTACTGTGTAAGACTTAGCTGTATACTTAATGCAATGGATGGTAACAGGGCTAACATGGTTTGGGCTCACCTGGCCTGCTGTTCATATTTTCTTTGATCATAGCCAAGGGCTGGCCTCAAATGTTTGAGGCGTAATCAGATCTTAGGCATGGACTGGGCATTTCAGTGAAGCTCATGCCAATCCTGTTATCAGTATCTGCACACTTAAGGTTTTAGTCCTGATTGATTACCTTCAGTTCAACAACTAGCTTTTTTCATTGAGTTTATACCAAAGACTCTATAACATGGTATCAAAGGCAGTTCTCGGAATGGAAAGGGTGCGTGCCCCAGGCCTGCACATGACACGTGCTGTCACATTGCCTGGATACAAAAGTAACGTGCAGTATATAACCGTGAAAGCACCTTGACTTAAAACAACTAGTTTTGGGAGATTGAGTTCTACCCAAGACCGTTTAGGATTTAGAATGCCTTGCCTTAAGCTTTCTTGTTTTATTCATTGATTTGGATTCTTCATTCCATGTAAAAGGTCACAAGAGAGGCAAAGCAAAGGTCTCCCCCAGTCCCCTTCTCCCAAAGTTTGTCATTCAGGCTGCACTTGTATTATGTGTGACTTTGTCTGATTCAAATACTAAAGAGCTCTCTTCTTCTTCTTCTTTTTGGCCTGTGTGTGTGTGCGCTCATAATTATAGGCTTCTTAATGTTCACTCGATCAAGGGCCGTATTCATTTTATCCCACTGGCTAGAACCATTTCCTGATGAGGAATTTAATAACTCCAAAGACGATCGAACATAAACCTTCTGGATATACTCCTTGAAATATAATTATGAAAATTTCCTGGCTGATTTGCTTATGTGACATCTTTCTTCTGTATACAGTCTGGAAATTGGAGTTGGAGGATACCCAGCTCCACAACCTTTGACAGCCTGGAGACTGAATCAAGGAAACTAAGGGATCTTCTCTCAATGTATGGGCGTCTGTGAATTATTATTACTGATATTTTGCTTTGGTGAGTGGATACATCTTTATCTGTATATTGTCTGCAATGCATTTTGTTGCATGAGATGCATGTATTTAGGGCTAATTATGAGTTGTAGGACAACTTCGAATCGACAGACAACTTGGGGACTTGGAAGTAGATGGCTTAAATTTTGATTTCAAATAAATAAGTGGCTCCTAGTTTTATTTTGTTCTTATCAATTTTAGTTTTTTGTTCATTTTATATATTTGCTGCTATAAATTAAGTTCTTAATTCCTCTCAAAAAAAAAAAAATAAAGGATAAACTATCAATAGGTCTTAATAGTTGGATTTAATTCACATTAAGTCCTATTAAAAATAAGCTTTTAACAAAATTGTTGCTAAAAATAATTTTTTGTGACATTTTTTTGCATATGTCGCTGAAAATTAACAATTAATAACCTTTTTTGTCACAATTTTTATAAATTGTTATTAAAATTTATAATTAGTGACGTTTTTTTGTGACGAATAACTATCATTGGAAGTTGAGAATTAGTATTTTTTTTTGTGATGATTTTTTTAAACTGTTATTAAAACTTATAATTAGTGGCATTTTTTGTGACAATTTTTAAACTGTCTCTGAAAATTAACAATTAGTAACATTTTTTAATAGTATTTGATAAAAAAAAATATTATTAATTATCATAGGATCTATTGGACAATAAGTTTACATATTACGACATGTGCTCAAGTCCTCTAAAAAGAACAAAAAAACACACAAATGGAAATTGTTTTTCAAATTGTTTTCTAAAATTTTTATTGAGGCAATTTTCTACAAAACGCGCGCGCATGTATATATATATTGTAGGAAGCACTTTTTTTCAGGAATTTCAACCCAAAAAAAAATGTACAAAAATGAAAACAATGTGAAAACGAAGAACATTTTATTGTTTAAAAAAATAAAAATAAAAATTTTGAAAACAATACTTAGAGAGGTTATATGTTGAATTTTGAAATTTCTCCAAGATGTTATTTGTCCATGAACCTATGGATGAAGTTCTTTTCTCAAATTGTATTTCGATCTTAAATTCGTTAAGAGAGATTTCATTTCTTCATGAAACAATGGATTTATTTTTAAACCATCTCCAATAACTGTAGCAATAGCATGTACTACACTAAAGTATCACGGTGTCATTTTAACTACACCTTGGACTTGTTGAATTTTTTTAATAAAAATCATATCTAAACTATTATAATTAGAGTTTAATTTATTACTAATTTCAAGTATGTCATTTAAAGACAAATTAAGCAAGGATTAATTTCACACAAATAGAGTAAGATAAGTCATTTTTTTATTTTTGAACTTTATAACTTAAATTAATGAATTAAGACATTGTTACAAAAATTATGCCTCAAACGTGGTTGATGTACATATATCAAATTAGAACAAAAAATACTACATTGTTTGAGTAAATGTGTTGTTTATTTAAGCTACTATAATAAGATTACGTTTGTTTGAGCAGATTAAATTAGATGAGATTAATATTTATAGGACTGTTGGGATTATAAGCTGGGATTGAAAAAATCTTATGAATTTTGTAATTTGACTAATTAGTCTGAACTTATTTTTAAAAATAGCATATTTTCTTAGGGTAAACTACCAATAGATATAGTTGGATTTAATTTCCATCAAATCTTATTGAAAATAAGTACTACTAAAGTTATCGCTAAAAATAAATTTTTATGAAGATTTTGTTGCATATGTTGCTAAAAATTAACAATTAGTGCCTTTTTTGTCGCTGTTTTTATAAATTGTTACTAAAATTTATAATTAGTGACATTTTTTGTGACAAATTTTTTCAAATTATCGTTGAAAGTTAAAAGTTAGAATCCTTTTTTGTGATGATTTTTTTAAACTATTGTTAAAATTTATAATTTGTGACATTTTTTATTAGTGTTTGATGAAAAATATCATTAATTATCATAAGACCTATTGGACAATAAGTCCACCTATTAAAACCTACATGTAAGTCTCTTTTTGGTATCCTCGTGTAATTTTTTAATGTCTTTATTTTTTTTAGATTACATCACCAGTTTATTTTTTTGTACATATTTTCATAAAAAAAATCAAAAAGTATAATTATTTAGATCATATTATGCATTTTTTTTGAATTACTAATCAAATCTTAAGGAATATATATTATCGGAGCAGTTTGTATATAGCTGTATAAAGTGCACATTTATTGTGTTAAAATAGGTCAAAATAATTTTCACTAGTAAAAACAAACTTAGGTTGTATTCGGGTATTAGTTAATTTGCATATAGAAAAAAGAAAGAGAGAAAGGTGCCCAAAAAAAAAAAAAAAATTGCATATCTATCTATCTCCTATCTTCTATATTATATACTATATATATATATATACATATATAAACAAATATAGTGTTATCTCAAAAAAATTCAAAAATTCATTCCTAAATTTTCATAATTTTGAAAAAAAAAAAATACGTGGCACACCCCTATAGCTCCTTTTTCACTTTTCAGGTCTTCTCACTCCCTCTTCTCTATGTGAAAAAATAAAAGTAAAATAAGAAAAAAAAATTACATAATATCTTTATTTCCCACAATTCAAATAAAAGGATAGAAACCCAATATAGTTATCCTTATCTCTCTTCTACAAAAATCTTTAAAAAATAAAAATAAAATAAAAAACCAAGAGATAAAAAGAAGCAAATTAAAAATAATAATAAAAAAAATAAATATCCTTATTTCTTTTCTATAACAAATCTAAAAAAAACTTCTCTTATGTTCGTATTCCAATCTCCATAAATAGTTGTACTATTCTCACCAAAATAAAATTAAAGATGATGAAAAAAAAAACTCACAACTCTCGATTGCATGCTCTCTTCTTTATTACAACAACATGATTACTTCTCTATATCTTTCTAAATAAACACTAGCTCAAAACTTGTTTATTTACAATTTACTTATAAAGACATGGATATGTCACTATAATTCTAAAGGTTTTATTTTCTTTTGCTTTTTTTTTTCTCTAACATTTTTCAATTGTGTATTTCATATTTTTATTTTTATTTTTAATATTGAATCACTTTTTAAAAATTGTTCAATCATTTCTCCATTTTCATAGTGATTTTCCTTCCAAATATTTTGGACAAACAAAAAAAGTAATGGCATCTTTTTTTAGTCATCATCATCAAAAGCTGAAGTTGAGGGTAAGAAGAAGGAGATGAAAACCTATCAAGACTTGAATTAATGGGCAAAATTGAATACAAACTTAATAATATTAAAAAATTAATATTTTATTTATGTTTATCTTTAAATTTAAACATTTATTTGCTGGTTGTTAAACAAGTTTTGAGTTTTGTTCAATTATATGTATGCATTGGACTCTGCTAAAATCAATAAATTTAAATTTTAAAATAATATTAAAATTATTAGCTTAAAAATATCTGTTAACTACTTTACAATCCTATCTTATTAGAAATTCCTTTAAAATTAAAAAATTACCAAGCAACTTCTTATCTCCATCAAAATATCTTGATTCTCCAGAATTCATATTACACTCATTGATGTTGATTCTGCACAAATGAATATCCTATATCCACCCAAATTGCTTGGAGCCAAAGACACTATTCAAATAAAATTAGTTTGACTGTCGAATTTTAGATTTGTACAAAAAAAATTATCATAGAATTTTGAATTTATATATATATATATATATATTAATAGATTTGTGCATGAAATAAAGCTTTCGCCCACTTTTCCATTTTTTTTTTTTAGTATTTTTATTTTTACAAATTCTATCCAAACACAATTTCAGAGTTTCTTGAGTGACTGTGCAAAGAAAATAACATTTAAAAAAAAATATATATGGGAGAAAATTGTTTAATTGTATAAATATAACAAACACATTTTATCAAACCATTTATACATTGAATTCATATATTTTTCATAACTTCATAATCTACTTAACTAACAGATAAAATTTTAATTTATGAAATACAGAAATAACAAAAAATAGTGTTAATATTGTATACGTTTTATTTTATAATAAATAAAAATGGAAAATGTTTTCAAACAATTGTTGAGTTGACAATAAATTAGTTTAAAATAATTGTTGAGAGTGGGATTTGAACCCACGCCCTTTCGGACCAGAACCTTAATCTGGCGCCTTAGACCAACTCGGCCATCTCAACACTTTAATCGAGTACGTTATATTATTTATATATATAATTGGTTTTTTTAGACCATCAATAGCTTTAGGGGCTGTTTGGTGCAGCTTATTTGAGGTGCTTATAACCTTTTTTTTAATTTTTTATTTTGAAATTCTATGCCTATATCATTTTTTTTTTAAAAGCTTATAGGAGCTATTATGCCTAATAAATTATAAATAAAAACTATACTAAATAATCTAGCTTAGCTTTTCAGAACAAAAAGTTATAAACAGTTCAAATAAGTTGCGCCAAACAGTCTCAAAATGTCTAAGGCCTTGTTTGCAAACTTGGCTTTTAGCAAAAAAGAGGAAGAAGAAGAAGAAAAAGAAGATGGAAGAAGTAAAATAATAATAAAAAAGTAGAAAAATGTCAGATATATATATACATATAGATTTATATGTATCAATAACTCCTATAAAAAAACACACAAAAAAAACCGAACTTCTCTCCAGTCTAAAATCAGATTGGAGTGTGTTGTTAGACTTCATGCACCCACTATGGAATTCACATTAATGATCCAAACTAATCAATATTTACAGCTCGTCAAGTAATTCATCCTTAAAAAAATTACCTTGATCGGATATTCATAGTCATTTAATCATATTAACTTTGTGTCAACGATAACTGTTAATTTAAAAATAAATGTTATGTTTGATTTGTATTTGTGAAACAATTTTGACTAATAATTTTCTAGAAAGAATTTACAAAATTTTAAAATTTGTTTGGTTATATGTTTTGATAATAGTTTTAGAGTTTTAGAATTTGGAATGATTTAACTATATATATATATATATTTGTAATTGAATAGATGTGTGTGACAGAAAAAGTGATTGATTACTATGTAAGATGTTAAAGAAAGAGAGAGAATAGAGAAAAAATAATTGATTGATGTGTAATAAAGAAAAAAGTAATTTTGAATTTTTTTTTAAAAAAAATTTGTAACCAAACAAAATTTGAGTTTTTTTTCTCGAAATTTGTATCTTTAAATATAAATCAAACTTGGCCA